GAAGTTGTGTTCCTTTGTTCTTATTATCCTCTCTACTGTATTTTTGCTCTGTTTTTGTATGAGCATTTTGCTAGGGCTTATGGCAGGGTTACAAAACAACAACTATTTCAATTTATTTAAGACATCTTTACTCTGAAGTATTTTCACGTAATAGTATCATAATTATTGCATCTAAAAGTAGCAGTAGTTACAGTTGTTTATTCTTACGCAAGATGTACTTTGATAATAAACTCATTCATAAGATAAAACAATAATCAAAGTTGATTAATCTTATTTTAATATTACTTACTGCCTGATAATTTTATTATATTCTAAAAATAAATACTGAAAAAAGTAGGCAATGTATGCACATATGAATAAATAATTTAAAAAAATTTTTAAAAGAAACCCCTTTAGCAGCAAAATCAAATAATCTAATTTATATCACTGAAATAAAAACTTTTTAAATGTCAACTAGTTCCCTGCTGAATGTAACTGCTGCAAATACACTTTGCAATTTTAAAGCATATCTGTAGCATAGAAATTCTCACTTCACTAACTTATAGTACAAAATATTGTGGAAGTATCATTAATTGTTTTTCAGTATTTGTAGTCAGAACTATGGGTTCTTTCTTTGTCCTTTATATACAAATACTGTAGTACAGTAATAATCACTCATATAAACTAGGTACATGCATATAATTGAACATTCTTTCTATTTATGCTTGAAGTCAATTAAATAAATAATATCTATATTACTTTGTAATCAGTGGCCTTGGCAAGCCTGACTATTAGCTCATTTTGAATATTAACTCAGTGAGAAAGAATGTATTTTTTATTTTCTGTACCACGTGAGACAGCATACCATATAAGTTTAAGTGTATATATTCTTATAATAATAGGAATAATTATATAATGGTGAGTATTATATTTTATTTCTGTAAAGAGGAATATTTAATTTTAAAATGTACTCATTTGACTTAGGTTAACCTTGCTCTTTGTATAAAAAGACAAATACTTAATTTTAAATGGTCATTTCTTTAGCTTCTATTATAACATCTTTTTCTTGTGTGTGTGGTTCTAAGGTTTGAACTCAGGACCTATACCTTGAGCCACTCCACCAGCCTTTTTTTGTGAAGGAGTCTTTTTGAGACAGGGTCTCGAGAACTATTTGCCGGGGGCTGGATTTGAACTGCAGTCCTCCTGATCTCTGCCTCCTGAGTAGCTAGGCTTGCTACAGCATTAAGTATCAATTATTTCCTGACCTCAAGAAGTAATATCCACAAACACAGCAAACTCATCTCCAGTCATCAATTTATACCCTGGAATTAATTATAAAAATAGGATTGGAATTTAACATGAAGCTTTTCAAAACTGTAAGGCCATTTAAGTATATCAGCCATTTAAAATGTGTATAGTTGTATAAACAAAACAAATCAATGAACAGGAATGGTGCAAAGATGGTCATGTCAGGAGAAAAGTACTCATGTTTTTTCATATTACCTTGGGGAGGGATGTGTAATTAAATAGGCTAAACAATGCATTTCTGAAATACAGTCCTACTTTTTTGCTTAAAATGACATTCCTAAGTATATTCCATCATATACACAGCTTTGCTGATTTCCTTCCAAACTGAAATACAATTTTTTTCTCTTCTTTGATCTGAAAGATGTCAAACTTCTCATAAAAAGTTAGTTTGTAAAGTTAAAGAGCAAAAGAGATTTAAATGTTTCTTGAATCAAGTCTGGATGCTTCGGAAGAGGAACCCATAAATGAAGTGACTTGGAGGCTGTTTTGAAGAAAAGAAAATAAACCAGGTAATTTTCAATGAAAAAAATGTTCTCAGTCACTGATTTTTTTTCATCTCCATATGCAAGAAGGAAACTGAGATTCAGAAACTGATCAGCAATAAAGCCCATTTGATAGTTACGTCAGTCTGTTACTTGATGTGAAGATTATGTAAGACTGTTCTCTTCCATTAGGAAAAGCTCCTAAAATGAGAACTGTCAAGGCTGTTAAAAATGAAATCTGACCTACTTCTTTCCTAAAGATTTCCATGAATTTTATGGTATTTCCTCCTACAGAGGGAGTTTTCTTCCTTTCAAATAAATAGTTAAGTGCTAGCAAATGTCTGTAACATGGATACAAATTTCTCTGTGTTTCTTCAATTATAAATTAATCATAGTATTTTTTGTACATACCAGCTTTACTATCTATTGCAAGCCTACTGTCATCCACACTAAAAAAAATTAGTCATTTGGAGTATATTAATAAAATGTAAGTCAACTGATCAGTCTGACAGGTTAGGTTTGATAAAACATAAACATGAATTTATTTTAAAATATACTTTATTTGGAAGAAAAAAGTTCCTTGTATTTATTTACAAGGCTGTCCTAGGTAACTTTGTATTCTTCTTTAAAAATGAAGTATTTCCTTCTTGATGAAGGTTGGTGAATTAACTAAAATGGAAGTCATTAAAAACTTTTTAAAAAGAGAAACCTACTTTTTAGGTTCCTTAAAACTACCAATTATCGCAAAATAAATGGAAAATGCCATTTCAAGTATTTACAAGTAAACACACAGCATTACGTTTATACGCTTTTATATCATTCTTGAAGTTCAAACACAGGCTCTGTAGTTTTCCTATAATAATTCTGCAGAAATCTCTAAGAAGTTCACAGAAGTTTAATTTAAAGTAAATGGGTAAGAAGTCATGCAGTCTTATGGAAATTACATGCATAAGACAGCATGGCACAATGAACACTTTTTCATCACATGATTTAAAGTAATAAATCCATCCTTATATTTATTCACTTTTAAGGCTGCCAAGATCATTTTCCTTAGCCAAGGTTTAAATGTATAAAAATATGGCTTGTATTCTTTCTGCTTAGTTATCCATTTAACTATAACTTCCAAGAGAATGACATAGCTGGAAATATTTATAAATAAACAATTAACTTCATAGCCTAAAGCATTTCCATAGAATTTTATACTGTGTATATCATAAGACAAGGGAAATGGATAAGACAAATACTGTAATAATGGACTTCAATTTCACTAGTTACAAACTTACACACTGTACATTTATTACCCTAACTTGAGTACATAGGAAATAAAATTAGTCTGTGCCCACGAAAACCTCAGCAGTAACAGACAAAAGCTCACTCTGTGTTTCTTCTATTTTCCTAAGTGAAATTCCAAGACAAAAGTACTCAAAACAGATAATATTCCCATGTTTTAACAGTGCATAATTCAAGAGTAACTAAGCTAAACAAGGTTTTAAGAATACTTTGGTAGGCTTAAATTCTAGCAACAAACATAAAGAGATAAAAATAAAAACAGTAATAATCAGTATTTTCCAATACATGCCATCAACCTTTTAGTACCACTATGCAGAGGTCTTTTAAAATATATATTGCTAAAATTAATCATGAAATACATGTTAGAGGTTCATTTTTGAAAGCTGCCATTCATTACAAGCTATGGTACTGAATAAAATCATAAATATGAAATGCACAAATATGAACATAAAAGTACCATCATTTTATAAATAAAGCTAATACCCTATGATAAAAGAGAACTGGAACAAAGGAACCAACAGGAAAATTTGTAGGCAAGAAGGAAACTGGAAATTGTAAGTTAAAGTCACATTAAGACATCCAGGTCCCTACATGTTACTGATATTTCAAACTTAGGCTTTCATTACATATGTTACCAAAAGGTTTTAAGTAATTCACACAGGAGAATAAACGAGGCTAGTGCCACCACTATTGCTGAGAACAGTTATAACTGATAACTATAGTTTCTTCCCTCCTTTATCACAAATATGTGCATTTCTGTTACTTTCTATCTGACTCATAGGCATAAATCACTTTTTGAAGCACTGCCTAATATAAAGGGCCATGTATTTTGTGTCTATAACAAAATACAATTCACTTGAGTTATAGACTCTACAGGAAAATAAGCATTAAAAATTATTCTAGTTATATACATACAATTAAATTTCAAGGAGGCTTTAAAGGTGAATGATGAATATGTGGTTTGGGCTCTGAAAAAAGAAATCTCATGAAGATCAGGATAAGCCTAACTAAACTGAATACACTGAAGATTTTTTCTTTTCTTTTTGAGACAGGGTTTCACTATGTAGTTCAGGATGTCCTAGAGTTCATGACCGTCATGCCTCAGCCTCCCAAGAGCTAGAATTATAGACGTGTATCACCACACCCAGCTTTACTCACAAGATTTTTCTCTATTTTGTTTATATGAAGAAAGGAGAAGTAGAGATTGTAACATATTTGCAATAAACCCATACCCAAGTTTCTTGCTTTCTCTTTGTCCAGAACAGCATGTTATAGAAGGCAGTGAGTAGAATTATAGACGTGTATCACACACCAGCTTTACTCACAAGATTTTTCTCTATTTTGTTTATATGAAGAAAGGAGAAGTAGAGATTGTAACATATTTGCAATAAACCCATACCCAAGTTTCTTGCTTTCTCTTTGTCCAGAACAGCATGTTATAGAAGGCAGTGAGAATGACAATGACATAATGACAGATAGGAATGGAATCAATGCAAATGCAGTGGGCCAATCTAGCATTGGAGAAGAAAGTGGTTTTCATGAATGGTTTTATTGAATGTCAAGTAATTAAAATTTTACTTGGATGGACTTAAAAACATTAAAAACTGTCCATAAGCATTCTCATTTAGAGATAGTACTTAACAAACTCTAGTTTTTCATATACTTTTGCTAAATTTAAAAGCCTCAATTTTTAGAAACTTATTTTACTTGAAAAATATCTCTTGTTATACTAGAGGAAAAAAATTCATTCCCTGAAAATTCTTAGTTAAGAGAACATGATCCAAATTTCTACTGGTTCTGCTAAGTAGGCAGAGGTAAGCCATACTGGCCCATGTCAATGTCTTAGCCTAGAGAAGTTGGTCCTAACACCAAAGTGAAATTAACCCGAAGATCATAATCCTTAAAAACTTTCAAGTGTATTGCTGATATCTCAACACTTACGGCTATCGTAACATATGTTTCCTAGAGCCCTGCCCGTTTGAAGCAGCACTTCCTGGTCTTTGCTATTTAGCAGCTGCACCAGTGGTGAAATCAATCCGGCATCCACACATGGAACTCGCATAAATTCTGGAAATAAGAGACATATCTCATTAAAAATTGAAACAGTCATAATTGACATAAACCAGTGCCCCTAATAAAACAAGTAGCTACTATTATAATGTTTAAGGGGGCTTGCTATTTGAAGAGTACATTTCTGTTCAAAATTACCCTGTTACAACCCTACAAAATACATTATGAAATAAGTACACAAAAATGAGTAGGGTCATATTTTTCTTGGTTGATTGTCTCTACCATAAGCCCAAAGGATTTTTAATCAACTTCATTACAAGTAATTTATCACCACCCTCTTAAGAGTAAGTGGATGTGCTTGGCAGCAGAATGTGATGTTGGCAATGTTCTTTGTATGAGCCTGATGATTAAAGTACTACAGTTACATGCTAAGCCATCAAACTGCTTAATCTTCACTATATGTTCTCTAAAAAGCCAAAATACAAGGTTTTAAAAAATCTTCCAGTGAATCATTATAAATAGTAGGCCTTTCAAAACTGGTAAGACCTAGGAGAACCATGTACTCCTCTCTTTCATTCCTCTTCTTTATTAAAATCCATGCTAGCGATCAACTCATACCTGTTGCTATACTCTTGCATTTATAGGTCTAAAGAACAACCATTAAGCTTTCTTCTCGTTAAACTCATTTTTTCCTTATCTTTATAGTATACCATTCTCTATTTACTGATGCCCAATGATATCACTACAGTCACAATTACAGACTTTTTCCCCACAGGGCTTCATGGATAAAATTTAAAGATAATGAAGATGTAATTAATGAAAGTTCTCCAATAATCAACAGTAGAACTGCCATTCTGGACATCACAATTTACTATCAGGATATTACATTATGGTTAATAAAGTTCAATAACAAAGAGCTAATTCCTTAAGGAATAATTTGTCCTACTAAAAAAGTACTATTTTTTCATTCTCACTTTCCAGGAGGTCCATTCCTTAGTTTGTTTTTGTTCCACATGTATCCCATAAACAATCCTCCCTCTTTTTCCTGTCACTGTAAAATACCTGAAGCACAATATGTAGGGTTGCCATGTAAGCTGTCACCTCCAAAATAATTGCTTTCCCCACTAAGATAGCTACAAGTCACAGAAGTACTTCTCTCCTGTTAAGAAATTTACGAATGGTATGGTCTGTATTCTCATTTCATAAACAGAACCTGGTGTTATATCTTATTCTTTTGCTTTGCTTGTGCTATTCTTCAAGCAATGGAAACAGCAATCAGTTACTATTTTTCTTTGCTCCTATGTTGTAACTGTCTATATGACACCAATTTCTCAAAAGTCTTTACTCTACAATTGAGAGTGACAGGTTTTCCTAAAATGATGGAGGGTAAATAATTATAGGAAAATTATGGTATCAAATAACTGTACTGAACCATTTTTTACTTGGAAACACATAAAGATAGAAGAGAGCTAGTGCAGTCCTCACTTTCAGTACAGTCCTCGCTTTCAGTCAACATAAAGCCATGAAAAGCAGAAACTGTCAAGTACTTATATATGTATGTGTGAGCATACAACATAGAACTCATTTTGTTCTTTGGATATTTTTTTTTTTGTATAATGTAGGAGTCCAATTCTGAGGTTTTAGAAAATAAGCATTTTTCTACCTCAGTGTCAATAAAATTCAGTAACATTAACTTGATTCCCACTAGCAGTTTTTACCTTTGACTTTAGTGAAATATTCATTAAATGCTTATTGATAACTTCCATTCCTTCTAAATCCAAAATGTTAGTTCTTTACTTTTTTTGCTTTCACTTTCCCAAATCTACTTGAATTACATATTGATTACTATCATAAATACAGACTGTAATGAAAACTACAAAATTTTTTCTTTTTATATACATTGAGATTTATGAATTTTACATATCTACTTACCAAATATTTAAATGCCACATTTATGTGTACTTTTCTCACTTTCAGCTACTGACAGAATGCAATGCTTTTCTGAAACTCTTTTAATCTAAAGTTTACAAAGCAATTAAAAATGAGTATTATGTCTATCTTAACATTTGTGACACTAAATACTAATATATTATTCAGAGTTTGAATATTCTCTAATTCTCTCTGTATTAACCTCTTAGCTTTTTATAGTTATCCTTTGAAATACAAAAACTGAGGCATGAAGATAACAGGAGTGATTACATGTGGGTGTTATCATGCTAAACTTTTTTTTTGTTCACACTTTGCATCGCTTTTTTTAAAGATAACATGATGATCATTCTTACAAAGTGAAGGATTAGGATTCCAACACTAAAGTGTCAAAGGATACTTTAAGCTATGTGACCACCTGGTCCACTTTTCTGGAGTTTCAAATTTATTCAGTACACACACATATTTGACACTAAAATAAACACTTGTTATGGAGTGGAGGACAAAATTAAATAAATTCACAAAACAGAACAAGAAAGTTCCATGTTTCTGAAGGAACCCTCCCCAGATCCTCTTTTGTTGTTATGAAAAGTTTGATTAATAATTCTGTATGGCTTTAGACCAAGACTTGGTTCTCAAACTTTGTACTCATCAGACTCACCTACAGGGTTTGTTAAAAACAGATGAATTAGAGTAAGAATGTGAAATAATGTGCTAATGATACTTAGCACAATGGAGGAACAAAATAGTAGCTAGCTGAAAATTACTGGTACTACTATTGCTATTAGATACCTTGAGAGTCCAATTCTGAAAAGAAAGCAATGTTCCCAGGTACTTCCTCTCTTACTTATTTCTCCATTGCTCCAATCAGTCTTAAGTCTACTACATAATGGAATGCTTTATTTAAAAGGTCTAAAAAATCACTTACTGTAACTTGGGTCATAGCTAACATCCTACATTAAACTTACCCATGGAATGTCTCACTAATCTCCTGAATTTTTAGTGTAAGCACAAGCCATGTGTTAATTTTTGAAGATTCTTTCTGCATGTAAAAATTTAATTTTTAAAAATTTTATATTTAACCTGAATCTTTTAAGTGTATGCTCTTATTTCCCCTTCCTAGTTATATAATGTGCACAGAAAAGATAAATTAATTTCCAACCTCATTTTTCTGTTTCATGCAATCTTTTTTCAATGTCAAGTTTCTAGTAGGAATAAATATAAGGCCAATTAATACACGGCTGCATTTCTGAAGATAGTATTTGTTTAAAAAAAAAACCTCAAAATCTACTCTACTTTCTCAAGTAGTCATTATTTAAAAAAATGTGTTATTATTAAGCAATAAACATCCAAATGTATCCCATTTATTTTCACTAGGAGAGGTTAGTCATATGTCCTTTATTAGACTTTGATTAAAAATATAAATACTAAAAATTCTATTATGTCTTCAGAATATAGTTATTATCTACCAGAGCATAAGTAGAAGAAACCTCTAGTAGTAGTTGTCACGAATCTGTGACAAAGCATCATAAGAATGATATTAAGACCATATGGAAATGTCAATATATTTCATAAAAATGTATGCAAAGTTTCCAAATTAATGCTATGGTATTTGTGATCATTACTAAGAAAAGGGGTTTTAAGATAAAAACTGAATCTGTACCTTGACTTTCCAAAATCTATTCTGTGACTTTAAAGAGCTTAAAAATGAACTACTTATCTTAAAAGTCAGCAGCTTTGTATCTAAGAAGATTCAGATAGGGATTGGTTTAGGTTAACACATAATGTCTGCAGTAGTTCCACTTTCAAATTAGATGTTTTCTTAGATATGACATACAAGTAATAGGTGTTCAGTTAACAATAATCAAATAATGGTTTAACTAACTGAAGCCTGACAGGCATCGTGATAAGCTTTACATAAATGAAAAAATTTCATGGCAGTTTTCTTTTCTGGTAATGTAGGTAAGAATGTAATGCTTTACTGGTCAAAACCAACATGTAACAGTTCTTTATAAAGCCACCTAGCATGGCGATTTACACAAAGTAAGCCAAAATTTTTAATTTTTTTCTCCTTAAAGCGTAATATGCATGACATGTTAAAATAAAAGTCCTAAAAATAATACCAAACTTTAACAAATCGAGGCATACCAACAATGATTACATTGACTATGGCTTTGCCTTATGCTTAAAGTCTGCTTTCAATATTCAGTGTTCTCTTAAACTTAATGAATTAAAATTATGTGCAAATGTTCCTGTTATAATTCTTCCAAAGCATCTCTCACTGGATATAAATAATACATAATAGTATGAATTAAGTGTTAAATAATCTAAGCTATGTTGTCACATTTTATTTTCCAAAGTACGTTTACATGAAAATTTAAGAAACAGATGTTTTCCATGAAAGTGAGTGCAGAAAACAACATATATTTCTGATCATATTGATGTCAGCTGCCAATGTCAAAAGGCTAGACAAGACTGAAAAAACCCTAGCGAGTCTCTCTGGGTATATCACAAACCAACATCTCTATTTGAAAAGGTAAGCTCTGCAGTGAAAATGATAAGTAACTTAGTGGTAAGCTCTAGAATTCTGTAACACTACTAATAAGCGACACAAGACCAGCAGCACTTTCCTTAATTCTACTCTGAAGGAACTGAATAGCAAATGAGAAATGTATGAATAAAATGACTATAACACTATAGTCATTTAAAACAATTACATGAAAAAGGTCAAAGAAAATTAAAACATAAATTAATAAAACATACTGACAAGTAAGGTGTAAAACTGAAGATGTTCCCAGCAGAAAAGTTCTTGAGGAAAACCTCACCATTTTTGGCTACTTCTGCTATGATGTTAGCTACTTTGGCTGTACAGGAAGACTGTGGTGTCAACAGACTTGCAAACAACTGAAGTACTCCACTTCCTTGCATTTTTTCACTTGTTTCCATATCTGAAAGAAATAATACAGAGAAAATCTTTAATGATAACACTAACAAATTAATCTATAATAATTTTTTCAAGAACTTTTGCTATCCAAAAACAGAAATTTGTTTCAGTATACATCAAATATATGTTCATATAGAATTACCTTCTGCTATTTATATAGCTGCTTTTATCTTAAGTTTTAGGCTATAAAAACACTGTAATATTATTTTGTCTATCTACGGTCAGACTACAAAAGAATTTTTCTGAATATATTATTTGTGACAAAACTAACTTTCAACATTAGTTTCAACCCTAGTTACTCAGAATTTTTTTCTATATTCTTTTTGAATTAGTTATAATAGCATATTATTTTATATAAACTCTATAGTTCCCTATAAAGCTATAGCAACTAAAAACTGACAATTATAATGAGCAAAAGCTTTATGAATGAGTGACAGATGAGATTATACAGTTCCATGTGATCACTACTTTTCATACAAATAACTCAATTGCCATTAATGAAGAAGAGGAATAATAAACTGTAGTATTCAAAAGTATTTGAATTCAAGCAGTCCCTAACTTTCCCAGTGAACTTGCCCTCCTCAATTCTTTCCTATTGAAAGAATGACCTATTAAAACAAAAAAATAAGAGGAATATCTGGAATGATAACAGAACTAAAGGAAAACTCAAGGAAATAAACATACTATCTGATTATACAATGAAATTTCTTGTTAAGTAAATGGCAGTCGATATGATCAATAGGGTAGGGAAATTATTTTAACAGGATAATTTGAGAAAGTCCACAAAATGTATTTCTTTATAGTTTATACTAATTAAGTATAGTGTTTTTCAAACTACATGTCCCAATCCATTAGTAAGTTGTGGGATTTAATTTGGTAAATAATGACCAACAAATTTCTTAAAAAGAGGACTAGAATTACCACCTAAAAAACACAGGAATAGGAAAGAATCACAGAAATTCAAAACCACTACTTCATGTACCTCTTGTGTACCTAGAATTCTGAGTAAGAGAATCAGAACACTCCTAATGTATGCTTTTATTTTGTATCTTGAACTAAAAATATAAGTGTTTAAGGTATCACTTAAAAATCTGGTATCTAATCTCCATTAATTTTTTTTAAGCAAGAAACCAAAAAATACCAAACTCAATTTGCCCATGTTAAAATCCTTTCTTTTCTGACCTCTGTTATCTGAAAATATATAACCTGAGAACACTGGGTCAGACTGCCCCAGGGGTCCAGCCCTACCATCTGCTGGTGCTGGGATGACAGCAAGAATCTGGCATAAGCAGAAAATCATGATGAGATGTGAAGCTGAGGTCTTTGTGTGTGCGGAGGCGAGCAGTTAACTGCAAGTCGCCCATGTGTGCCTCATTTTAACTACAACTAAAAGAATGACAATATTACAGCTGAAGTCAGGGGCAAAGGGAAAAAAGCGTAAAACAATGCAAACTCTTGCACTCTAAGGAGACTTTCAATCCAAAGAACAGTGAGAACAGCTATAGCAAAGGAATTAAGACTTTGGGAACAGCATGTGGATTTAGAATTTAAATCTGGGAATTACCTTTTTCCTTTGTCATAAAAACATAAACAAAATACTGCTATATCACTAAAAACAGTCCAGTGAGTAACTACAGGGTTTTAACCTAATTTCACTTATACTTTCTGCACTGCATTCTATGGCAATTCAAAAAGAAATACATTTACCTATGAAGTAATACATATTCTTAGGTGTTTGTAAGTATCTTTGAATGATTTTTAAAAGGGCATTAAGAACATTGTTCCAAAAGTGGAACGGTTTGTATAAACTAAGGGAAGAGGAAAAGAAAAGAGTAATAAAGTGAATAATAGTGAAATACATCACATCTGTATAGGAACAAGACACAATGAACCACCCTGAGAACAACACAGGGTAGGGGGAAAAGATAATGAAGACTAACAGAGGGGGTTTGACGGACTAAAATACAATATATGTACAGGTAAAATACGAAGGCCAAACTCCACTGAACAATGAGCAGACACTTAAACAATGAAGGACAGAAATGTTAAACAGGTCACAGTAAGGGGGAGGGTAACAGTGGAAGAGGGAGGGTAAATGAAGAAGGTAAAGGAAGGTGAATATGTTTGAAGTATTTTCTATACATGTATGAATGTGGAACCTGAAACCTGTTAAAGTCATTTCAAGAAGATGGAGATTAAAGCAGGGGATGAACCAAACCAGGGTACAATATATGCATATATGGAAATGTCACAATGAAACTATCACATACTAATGAAAACGTTTAAGGACTGGTGGAGTGGCTCAAGTGGAAAAGCAACTGCCTAGCAAACATGAGGCCCTGAGTTCAAACCCCAGTGCAACCAAAAACAAAACAAAACAAAAATTTAAAACTTTAAAAACAAGAAAAAGATGAAGAGAATTTTGTGAAAAAAAGAAAGAAGTAGTCAGAGGTTGATGCTTATAGGTCCAAATGAAAGATTACTTTTAAAACAAAAAATACACACTATGACAGGGAGTCCTTTAAAAAAAAAAAAAGGTAGACTTTTCATTATCTTTAGCCAGATTAGTACTGACATTTTGGCTAGAATCCTTTATATGTTTGCAAGAATAAATTCAACACCTTCCTCCCCTTTCACATTTAGGTACTGTCATAAAAATGTCTGAATATGCCTATAAATCAGAGGCAGCTAGCAGCCTTTGAATCTTGAAAGACCCACATATAAATGGCAATTATTATTCTAATGTAACATATGTGGACACTACTGAAGCAGTCTTATCCATCACAACAGCACTTGCAGTCCTCCATGAGCTCATCCTGCCCCTGAAGCTCTATGTCCACACCTCCCTGACCTTCTGATGACAATAAGGCCCCGTAGCTATGACACTTAAAACTGGGCAATCAGGCCAGAGAAACTTGAAAGAAGAGGTGAGCTATGATGCTGACTGTGAAGTTAAAGCACAATACATGCAACCCCTCAAGGCTGATGACTGTGCAGGAGGAGGGAGGGAACAGTGGGATGGGAAGGAACTCAAATAATTTAAGAGTTGGTTTTTTTTTTTTTCATTTTTCTTTTATTATTCATATGTGCATACAAGGCTTGGTTCATTTCTCCCCCCTGCTCCCACCCCCTCCCTTACCACCCACTCCACCCCCTCCCGCTCCCCCCCCTCAATACCCAGCAGAAACTATTTTGCCCTTATCTAAGAGTTGGTTTTAAAGAGGCTAAAAAGCCCCCAGCAATGCTATCAAGTAAATACATTAAAACAATTGGCTTTACAGTTAAATACCAAGAGGGAGTTTCAAAGTATGCTACCATAATGTTCTGAATTTATATTATATCATAGTCTTCATAAACTTATGAAATACATTTGACAACCAATTTACAGTCTCTCAGTTAGAAAAACGGAAACAGTAACAGCTATTATTATGATTCTGTTAGGCAAAATTTATTTTGGAATAGACTGTTAACATAGCTGTAGTGTAATAAAAATATTTCAAATTTTATTCTGTTTTGACAGCATAGCATGTCAATTACAAACTGACATCTTAATATTACATATTTTAAGAGTCTTTATAGCAGATTATGTACAGAAGACACAATTTTCATTGAGGACTCTAACTTGGAATTGACTAAAAGGACAATAGTATGACCCAAAGAACCATAAGTATCTGGGTCTCTTAAGGAACTGTGTATTTCTTAAGGGGTAGATTTCAAAAGTAGGTTGCAGCAAAGAGCTCTGACTCTATGGCTAGGAAATGTGATGAAAACTAAGGCTTGATTTTTTACCACACAGACAAGTCTCTAATCTTTTCTTTTACCCACCAGAAAAATAAAATTGCATTTGGATACCACAAATACCTCAAATTTAACATGTCACAAACTGAAATTCAGTCTCTCTCTCTCTTACTGAATGGTAAAGAATGCATCTAAGGCAGAAACTCCAAATTATAAATTTTTCTTAGTAAATGGCTACCACTCATGTTTAATCAAAACACAGATTCCACAGATTACCATCTCACTAGTATCTTTTGCATCTATACCCTTCTACATTCCTGAAACTTAAACTCTTGGTTCTGACCTGTATTAAATGCAGCAGCCTTAGCAGGCTCCTTAACTGTCTCCCTACCCCTAATCTGTCATTGACAATCACATAGAATAAACTTCTGGAAATGCAAATTTTGTCACTTCCCTAAATCTTTACGTGGCTCTTGTAGCTTTGAATTAAACATTCCAGGACATCCCCATCTTCTCCATAGATATCTATACTCCTCCTTAGACTTTCTTATTCTCTAGCTACACTAAATTACTAACAGTAGCCTGAACTATTCTATTTCATTTCTCCTTTCAGCAAATGATGTTCCCTTTCTAACATGTTACTCCCACCCTATCATTTTAACTAATTCTTACTGACTTATTCAAAGGTATCTGACCAAAAGCCACCCAACCTTTTAAATAATATGTGACTACCATAAAATTCTGGATTTTAACTTCAGATTGAGAGCATTTTCTTATAAATCAAAAGCATTTTCAAACACACTCTTTGTCTTAAAAACAATCATGTAAGATAGGTGTGATAAGGCATGTTCATATTACGAGGAAGATCACAGGATAAGATTATATTAGAAGACAAGCAAGAGGAGGCCCAAACAATGTATGCACATATGAATAAATGAACACTGAAAAAAAAAAGAAATGGAAGAAAAGTGGATTCGAGTTTAGAAAAATAAAGCAGTATTTTTTGAAACCTGAAAAAAAAAAAAAAGAAAGAAAAGAAGAAACCACAATTTTTTTGATTCCTACTTCAGGGTTCTTCCTACCACAGCTGTCATTAGAGGATGGTAATAGCATAACCAGATTTGTCAAGTTATTACAGGAAAAACATTCTTATTTAACACATTTTTACAGAATTAAGAACTAAGGTAAGGTAACTAAGAAAAGGATGAATATGACACATATTTAAAATGAAAGAGAACAGTGTAAATAAAGTGAAGCAGGCTTAAA